CATTGCTATGCAAACATATTGGAACCTCATGAAGTATGTACATTTTGAACCTGCAACAACCATTTATAATCTGTAGATAAATATAAAGTAATTTTAAAATTTTTAAAATAATTGACTACATATTTCTTTCTAAGATTCAAGTTATATTGGGTGAAAAATATATCTCATGTTTTCTCCAGTCTTCTATACGCTGCTAGGTATGATTCCAGAGCTCTGAGGAGAGAAGGCGACATTCATAATTGCTACAGTAGTCCACCCAGATCCTCCTATCTCTAGAGGACCTGTAGGGATTTTGACAAACAGGTACACAGGGGGTGGAGGAACTTGAGGAAGGACCTGGAACTGGACTCTCTTGTGTCTTCCTGAAGTTCTGGAAGAGGAAGGCGGAGATATGAAGAAAGCACCATGGGGTGGCAGAGAGGTCTTCCTCGAGGCTAAGTAGTACAAGAGTGATGGGATCAACACTAAAAGCCGGATTCAGATGATTTACTGAAACTGAAGCTTGTTTGGATCCAATCTGGAAGCAGAAGTATTTGCTCCGCCTATCAAGTAACAGATAAGGTCCTCTGTAGCCTGGAGTCAGGGTAGCAATTACTGCGTCCTCGCGAACAAAAACAAACTTGGCTGCTACGAGGGCTGCAGGGAGTTGAGAAGGAGAAACCTGACGAACATGATGAGGGGGATACACAGCAAAACCATCGATTGCTCTTTCAACCTTTCTTAGGAAAGTATCTAGTGGCATCTCTGGAACATCCACTAGTTATCCAGGATAGGTTAAAGAAGATCCATAAACAGCCTTTGATACTGAGAGGCCTGGGTCCTCCTTTGGTGTCGCTCTCAAACCCAAAAGAACCAGATGGAGATGAGAGAACCACTCTGAAACTGCTAAAATGGCCTGAAGAGCTGATGCTAGACTTCTATGGAACAGCTCAATAAGTCTGATACTTTGAGGATGAAAGAAGGTTGTAGTGGAGGCTGAAATCCCCAAACTAGAGCACACTCCAGGCCAAATTGCAGATGTGAATTGAGAACCTCTGTCTAATATGAGAACTGCTGGAACTCCGAACCTGGAGATCTACATTGAACTACAAGCACAAACACAGGACTCTGTGGAGATGGTTGTAGATTTGTTGTTGTAGATGATGATGGCCGTCTTCTGGATGTCCTCTTACTCGACTGGCACCCAATAATACCCCTTCTGTATATCCAGTTCAGAAAAAATAGTAAAACCTCTGACACATGAAGTGATTTTAGGAAGAGGGAAATGATTAGGAACCATGGCGGTATTGAGCTGGTGGTAATCACCACACAACCTCCAACCTCTCTCCTACTTTTTGAGGTGGATAATCCCTGTCTTTTCCATGGCGGAAAACTCTGCCTTGGCAACAGCAAGCATGGCAGATCAAGGCGGCTGGACTTGGCAAAAACAGGTAATCCAGGCTTGGTGAGGTAGTGGTGGGGGATCTTGTGATGTGGCGGAGCAGCAATGACCTCATCAGATTGAAGAACGTCTTGGAACTCTTGCAGGTGGTCTGATACACACTGAGGGATGGAGAGATAGATAGATAGATAGATATATATTTGACTAAATATTTAATTAAAAACAATTTGTGTTTCACAATTTTTACATTTTAATTTAGCCAGGGCCTCTCTAACCATTGTTGGTTGTTTTGAATGAGAGGCCATTCTGCAGCGATACATCCATGTTCAATTTAAATAAAACCAATTAAAACAAAAACAATTTAGACAAAAGGAAAAGGAGGAAAATGAAAAGTAGTAGATAGAGGAAAGGTATTGAGGACTAGAGAGGAGAAGAAGAAGAATGGATCGTGAATATTCAGATTCATCCTTTTTCAAACCTTGGTAAATTTTATCTAAGAATTGTAAAAGTGGATGTGAGGTGTCATGTTTGGTTCTAAATCCATATTGGTGAGAATATAAGATAATATATTTATCTATAAATCTGAACATTTGACGAGAAACCAGCTTTTCCAATAACTTCGAAAATGAAGAAAGTAAACTGATAGGTCGATAATTTGTGAAATCACATGTGGCACCTGATTTAAAGATTGGTATTACTTTGCACACTTGAAGCTATCAGATAAAAATCCTGTTTTCAAAGATAGATTAAATAAATAAACAACTGGAGAAATTACATTTGGCATGATATCCTTCAATAACTTCGTAGAAATATTATCTTAGCCACAGCTTACTTTACTTTTAAGCAATGAAAGTGTTTCAAATATAGTTTCTGGAGTCACATTTGCAAAAGTGAAGTTTTGTTTAATAGGATTAGATAGATATTCTGAAAAAAATTTATTTGTAGAAGGAATAGATGATGCAAGTTTAGGACCAACATTTACAAAAAAATCATTAAAACCTTCAGTTATTTCATTTAATCCAGAAAATGCCTTACCGTCGCTCACAAATAAATCAGGTATTTCTGTCTTTGAGATATTTGATTTCAAAACTTTTTTTAGCACATTCCAAGTTTGTTTTATATTTTTACTGTAAATGCTGCATGCAGAGTTGAGGATGGAGGAGGCGGAGTTGAAGGTAACTTAATCACTAAAACATTTGTAAAGGAGCTGGGAAACACCTTCCGACTCTTTACATCTCATGCAAAGATCATGATGCTGGAAAAAGCCTGCTCCCAGGATTGGAACTAAGGCTGGAGCTAGTTGAAATAACCATGAAGAATTCCAGGAACCAACACGTAAAGGAATTATCCTGGAACCTGAGCAGGATACTGTTGAACCATCTGCTGTCAGTAACCTGACTCGGGAGGATGTGGATTACAGAGGAAAACGTGTGGAATCAGTAGACAAGGAAAATGCATCCACCTGCTGGTGCTTTAGTTTCTGGACCAAAAGCACGGAGCCTGACTTCAGAGAGCTTTTGAACCGAACTTGGCCAACAGAAGGAGAGCAATGTAGACCAGTGGGAAGGTGCAGCTGGTATCTGAGAATGGCGGGGCAGAGGACTAGGAGTACATTGAGAACGTTGAGACAGGCAGTGCTGCCTGGGAGTGGGTGCATGAACAGCATGAATGGTGTCCACAGCGTTTGCAACTTTCTGGCCAGAACACAGGAAGCTTCATAACAACAGCATTTATATGACCCGCAGAGACAGAAAGCTGGCCTCAGACATCAGTGGTCAAACCTGGATCTCCAGGCATTACTTCCACCCTGAAACTATAAACTGTCAAACTTACAACCTTGCTTACTGTAGAAGCCTGTGGAAACAACAGGGAGGCAAGTTTGCTTTTCAGCCAAAGTGTAGTGAAATAAATATTAACTCTAAATCACTGAGTTTAGTTGTATAATTAATGCAACTAGGTGGGTTGATTAACTGTATAAGGCTAATGAAACGAAAATGCTTGTTTAAAGTCTTGGGTCACCAATTTAGTGATCAAAATGACAAAAGATTAATGATAACTGACAAGTCCTTTTTGATACTTGTTACCCAAGATTCATTTATTTTCCCCTAAATATTGTAAAGTTTCTCCAAAAAAAATTTTAAAATTTTTTTTTCAACACTTTTTAGCGATCAAGTAATAATGACAAAAAGACTCAAGATAACTGACTACATATTTCTTTCTAAGATATTTTTTGTTATTTTTTGTTAAAGTTATTTTGGGTGAAATATATCTCATGTTTCCAAAACTCCCTCTCTGCTCTAGCTGCCAGTTAAGATTCCAGAGCTCCGAGGAGAGAAGGCAACATTCATAACCGCCACAAGTTTACTTTTTAAAACTTTTTTTTTAAAATAGATGTTAAATGTCATAATCAATTATTCTTGTAGATGCTGATTTTATTTCATAATTTTTAGTACTGGCCACAGGTCTGCAGCCTTCTTGCTGTTCCTCTTTGTAATATCTGCTTTTCAGCTTCTTTTATACCCAGATTTTCTTAACCAAGGGGAACTAGACCTCCAGATGATCCCTGCATCCTCCATCTCAGCTTTGGCAGAGGGCCAGAATGGTTGGAAGATAATGGAACACACCATGTTTTGGATTAGAAACTATGAAACCAACAACTGCCTGATCTTCTCTCAGGTTAGCACAGAAAGGTGTTGAAGAGGTGTGTGATGATCCCGTTGATAATACATCCAGAGAATCTGCATCTTAAACCCATCCTCCAGCTTTGTCGACCAGGAGAGAAAAATTTCTAAGATAATCTGAACCCAGGAAAGCAGTAGTCACTGGAGCCAGAGGAAAACTCCACTGGTAACTGTGGAGGGCTTTACTTAAGAGGGAGTATTCTTCACTAAAACAAGGTAGAGAATCCCCCCCCTGCAGTTCACAGTCGGGAACCAGCAGGATTGCAAGCTGCTACAGAATAGGCACAAGGTTACTCAGGGAAAACTGATATCAAAGCTCCCATATCGACAAAAAAGTTCCTTCCACAGACATAGTAGTACACAAGGACATAATGATAATGATAATGATAATGATGTCCTGAGATGTCATGACAAATCACAAGAGCTGAACCGCCTGTATCTTAATATGAACTGTGTGCATGTTAAAATTCAGAAAATTGTAAAAGTTTAAGTAATTTGGGTCACCCTTCATACTGTTACAGAGCTAAGAGCAATTTTTTCAAGAACTCAACCCCCAAATTATGGAGAACTGTTAAGTTAACCTTTAGTTTATCTTGATTGTCACTAAACAAAGCTAGTGGGGTGGGTCAAATAGGCCTATGATAGGCCATGTACTGTTAAAAGTCAGGTAGCGCCATCAAAGCTTAAACCCTGTCAGCATAGGATAGGGTTGGGCCAGTACTTGCCACAGGTCACAAAGGCTGGTACAAGGGGTTTATCTGGTTCAAATTTAAGAAGTCCACTGGCATAGACTGTCGAAAATTTTTGAAGTCAGCCTGTCAGGTATTTTTTGGAAATTATAGAAATTGGGTAAAATGCAAGGGTTAAACAAATCCACCNATATTTTTACTACTCCTGACAGGGTTTAATAAAATTTTGAATTCTAAAGCAGCAACATATACTTGATGTATCTAGTGTTATATGAAACTTAGCTCCTATAGTGTGTGTGTGTATAAAATGTGCTTGGTTTATATACTTCTCCTTCTTGACTCAGGCAACATATACTTACTAACTTTAGATTACAAATCATCCAGCTAAAAGAAAAACATGTGAACATTTTTTATCATTGAGTGAAGCATGTAATCTCAAAGGAAGTGTATGCAATTATACAGGGGGTCATTTCTATTTCTGTTAAAAAAATGCCAGTACACGTTATTTGTCAGAAAGATGATCTTGTTGCATATTTCTTGGACGAAAAGTATTAGACATTTTGAATATGGTATCTTTACTTGATCATACACATTTTTGCATTATAAAGACAACTGCGGGTAAACCACAGTTATAGCTTAAATGGTCCAAAGAAAAAGAATTAAAGACATTGTGCAATTTGTACAATTTCACCTAGAAAATGGTTTGGTAAAACTTATCACTTTCAGAAATATGACGATTGAAGAAAGTCTTGAAAAATTTGTTGCACTCTTTAATATTAAATTAATGTTGTTCCAGTTTATGGAAACTACCCATCATGTGCTCTTCCACAGCCAACTCCCATTCAATGGTAAAAAATCTTAATAATAATCTTAGCATAATTTTGAGTGACAAGTGATTATTTTCAACTGTTGTTGTATTACAGGAAAATATAGAGGAATTATCAGAATTAAACACTTTAATCTATTGAGAGGTCTGTTGTGAATCGTCTTTTTTGCAGAGATCTTAATGTTTAATGGTTATATAAGCCCACATGTGCAAACCTTTTTTGATAAAAAGTTAGGGGGTATAGTATTATCTATTGGTTGAAACAAATGAACTAATTTGTTTGTTTTTAACCAGAATTAAAATTTCTTTAAATCTCTGAGTTGAAAGAAACGTGAGTTCTTGCCACATATTCAAATTTGCCAGCCAATTTTGCATCCTTGACTTAAAAAGAAGCAACTCTCTAAGTATATTTAAAAATAGACTACTAGATTCTCTTTTTGAAAATTACATGACAATGTGTTATAAACCGAATTGCTATTCATGTAAAACTAATTAGATATGTTTTAATATGCTTTGATATTTGTTGTGTACATGTCAGAAAATTACTTTAAACCCTAGTTATTCGAATTAATGTATAAGATCTCTAATCGTTTTCCTTAAATCTATTTAATTGAAATGTTTTTTTTATTATTAAAATTAGGTGGAAAAAATAATCAAAACAGCCAAGAGTTTTTTTCCACCTAATTGCTTTATACTTGTACTGTTAATATAATCATCAATTTGTAATTGTAAACTCGTTCTGTACACAGATACATGTATTTTAGCAATAAACTTTATCTTATCTTATCCTGATGGCATAAACTTCAACTATTTCATACATAGTTTAAACTATTAAGGTTTACTTCATGTGATTGCAAAGATATAGTGGTTAAAAAGTCAGAGCATGTGGCAAGAATTTAGTTTCTTTATTAAAGGGTTACAGGATACCTATATCGGTGGTTCAAATTTAATCTATAAACCATCAAGGTGGTTAATGTTAAGCTCAACAGCGCTGAAGAAGCAGTTTAATTCCCTAATATACCTACATCTCTCTTCATCCAGAAAGGAATTATGTCTTTGCAACAAACTCAAATTTTTCAATCCTTAGCAATATTTTTGCAACCTGATGGCGAACACCTTTAATATTTCAAACTTAGACAATCGTTTGAAAAGTCTAAGGCCTACAACATCGAATATGGCGATTAGAAAATCTGAGTTTGTGGCGAAGAGTCAATTCCTTTCCAGAAAATCAACAAATAAAAATTTAAACTTAAAATGATATTTTATTAATTCTTTGATAATTTTTTTCCAGGGTTCCTCTACAGCCCGGGGAACATTGCAGGTTTTCCAATTTAAATAATAAAAATAAAACATTTTAAAAATAAAATTGCTAAAATCAGATAGATTAATTGAAGTTAAGTTTTCAGAATTCATGAAGATTGCGAGGAAGCCAGTATTTGCACCAAGGGGTTGATTCTTCTAAATACTTTAACCATCTAAAAGGGGAAACACATTTTCCTCACTTCCCATCCCCGCACATTACAAAATTATAATGTGGAAATTATTTAAATCCCTTTAAAAGGAACTGAGTTATTGCCCCAAACTCGGTTTTCTATTTCCTATATATCTGCAAGCTTATGTCGGAGACCTTTAATATTTCAAACTATGAATTCTGTTTGAACTAATAATCCAAGTTAGAAATATCTAAGGTTTAGACTATTAGGTTGCAAAGGTATAGGGATTGGCAAATTTGAGTTTGTTGCAAAAACTCGATTCTTTTGGCGCACAGATTTCAAATATTCTCCTTCCCCGCCATGGAAAAGTTCAGAAGCCGCCTCTGTAAACAGAATTGAGAAATGATAATTGAATTAAATCTTTCAGAGCTTACTATAATACTAGCTGTAATAAATTGCTAGGGTATCATACACCTGATCTTGAAGTTATATAGTAATAAATATATGACATCAGACACTTTCAAAATAAAAATATCAATAATTAGACCATCTTCAGAGGGATAAGGGGGGAGGGGAGCTATATGATAATCTCCTGGTGCGTTCAAAACTGCGTTTTAAAGTTTCCAAAAATATAAACAAATCCCAAAATTAATGAGACACGACAAAAACCGACCTCCTCTCTTTCAAATTCCTCCTTGCACCCCAATAACAAAAACAAAACAAAAAACAGATTTTAAGAATTGATTCCTGTAAACAGGAAGGATGTAGGCAGATCTCATGCAGTCAAGGCAGGCAGACATTCCATGCTGAATTTTGAGTTCTAACGATGATGATGATGATGATAGTTATGACAATTACAATGACAATGACGTCTATGACTATGATAATGATAATGACAATGACAATGAAAATGAAAATGAAAATGACAATGACAATGACAATGACTATGACTATGACTATGACTAAGCTATGACTATGACTATGACTATGACTATGACTATGACTATGACTATGACTATGACTATGACTATGACTATGACAATGACAATGACAATGACAATGACAAAGACAAAGACAAAGACAAAGACAAAAACAATGAAAATTAGAATGAAAATGAAATTGAAAATGACAATGACAATGACAATGACAAAGACAAACAATGACAATGACAATGACGAAAATGAAAATAAAATGAAAATGAAAATGAAAATGACAGTATGACAATGACAATGACAATGATCATAATGATCACAATGAATGTCTGATTATCTAGACACTGACTGCGAAGTGCAGGAAAATATTAGGAATAATTTGAAATTGATTAAAATAACAACTCTCTAAAACCAAAATTATCATTGAATTAAAATGGCTCAGTAACATTATGCCTAGTTCCCGAATGCATAGTTCGTGAATGCCTAGTTCACTATGCCTAGATTCATGAATGCCTAGTTCGTAATGCCTAGATAACATTATACCTAGATAACACCATGCCTATATTTCTGAATGCCTAGAAAACATTATGCCAAGAAATCATAATGCTTAGTCACCCAATGCCTAGATAACATTAGACTGAATTGAATGCCTATAGACATTGTCAAGTAATAAATAAATGATACTAATTCTGGTGATAAGAGTAGCTTTGCATTTTTGGTTACTGCATCGCCAGTTTATAGTCTTCAATCCAGAGCCATTCCTTAAATAGATAAAGTTGTATTTGTCCCTTAATCCATCACCTCCCTTTATTGTCCGAGTTGCACTTATGAGAGCAGCCATTGCTGCTGTGTGTCAAACTTTAACTGAAGTTGCACATTTTCAGAAAGTTGTTTGCGGATTTTTGTAAAAATTTTACTGGATTGTCATGTTGTCATGTTGGTTGTCATGTTTTTTTATCTCTCTTTAATATTTTTATTTCTCTTTGAAATACATTGTCTAGGCATTCAATGCACTCTTATGTTATTTAGGCATAATGTTATCCAGGCATTCATGAATCTAGGCTTTGTGTTCTCTTGGCATTATGTTATCTAGGCATTATGAACTAGGCATTCAAAAATATAGGCATAATGTTATCTAGGCATTCAGAAATCTAGGCATAATGTTGTCTAGTAATTCATGAACTAGGCATAGTGAACTAGGCATTCACGAACTAGGCATTCGGGAACTAGGCATAATGTTACTGAGCCAATTAAAATTATTATTAATATTTTGGAATTTTAAGAGTAAGCTCCCAGTGAGGTGTGACCTTGGGAAAGGGCTCTGTATCCAAAAACCATGTCAGGTTCTTTTTATTTTGTACACCTCATGATTACATTTTTTATCACAAGGATCCATATTTTCTATTTAAAAGAAAGGAAAAAATAATATGATTTGAAGATTTATTCCTCTCATATTTTCTTACTGATTTAAACTTAATAACTAGTGTCCGAATTTAATGAATTTAAGCCACGTCTCAAATCCCCCCAAAACCGGTTTTAATTGACCGCTGGCTTAAATCTTGAAAAATTTAATACAAATTTAAGTGGAAGCAACCATATTTGAACCGCGGCTTAAATTTAAACCGCGGATCAAATTCTTTAAATTCGGCCTTTGGTTATTTCAATTATGCAAAAATTGTGTAAGTGTTGAATCTAGAATGTACAAAGTTTGTAATAAAGCGGGGACAAAGAAATTGAGTTTTTGCCACAAAAATCTAATGTTCATTCCCTATATCTGTGCAACCTGATGTCATAGACCTTCAATATTTTAAACTTTGGATTCTGTTAGACCAAATAATCTAAGTTTGAAATATTAAAGGTTTTCACCGCCTGGTTGCAAAGATATAGGGATTAGAAAATTTAATATTGTGGCAAAGACTAAATTCCTTTATCATATGCGTTTTAACGTTATAAAAGTTTGAATACAATGTGCAGGGAGATGAGGAGTGTATTAAAGCAGATCAAATCTTTAGGTAAAATAAATTTTTGAACAAATAAATTTTGTAATATAATTATAATATAAAATTCCTTGTTACAGTAAACAGCATGTTAATATATTTTCCAAGAAAAATTTGTCAGCTTCATTTCAGCAAGATTGTGTTTTTTAAGTTTTTAAATGGATATTGATAATTGATTACTGTTTTTTTAATTTTAAACTAAGAATGTATTTTTAAGGATAAAGAGATAGGAAAGCTTTGAAAAACATTTTGCAAGAATCTAAAATAAATGCTCTAATTACAGTTTATAATGCACCATTGTGAGATTTCATTGTAATTTTCTAGGTGTTTCTCTAATGGCTCATGTAAACCATCCTTTGGGACATGTGTAGACTCATGTTCTTGTATCTTGGTGAGATTAAATAGATACTAATTAGTAATGGATTGCGGGGGGGGGGCGGCTTATTTTCAAAACAAATATCAACTGCAATCCTCCTCGTCAAAGTTTATGTTTCCAAAATATTTAGGAAATGTTTGGGATTGGGGGAGAAAGCAAAACAAATTTGAATGATGTAATTTAAACAAATTTTTAAAAGAACAAATTTAATGGTGTCCAATTAAACTTATAAATCATCTTTGAAAGCTTAATTAAAGGACCTAAAAATTTAATTTAGGAAAGAAATATGACAAGTGGAAAATCTAAATGTTTCAAAGGGAACTGTTTCTGCAGGTATATTTTTTACTGCATATGAAACATTTTAATTGTCTTTTTAATCAATACTCTGAATTGCAGACCAAAGCAAAATGATTGCAACCCTAATGAAACAAAGGTAATCATTAATCATTTAAAAAGGAAAGAAAAAAACTTCATTATTCAGGCATTTATTTAGGATCCATACATAAGTCTAGATATTTTAGCAGTTCAAAATCTTTCCACTCCAGCCCCAACAGAATCCTCTACACTTGTAGAAACTCCAATTATTGAGACAACTCCTAGACAATCAATATCAATATCTAGCACTTATCCCTTTACATCTTCAGTAGCATCCAGTTTAGAGGATAGTTTAGCTACTGCACTATTCAGTTCAACACCTTCTGGCTTGTATACAAGTTTGTCAACACCTTCTAGCTTGTATACAAGTTTGTCAACTCCTTCTAGCTTGTATACAAGTTTGTCAACACCTGCTATTAGTATATCTACGCCTGCTAGTTTGGACACTAGTTTGTCTACATCATTAATGGACTCAACCGAGACAACACCTTGTCCTGTATGTGAAAACGTTGATCTAGCATCCACTACAACAAAGCCAAATGTAACCATGACTATTTATTTCAAAATTCCCGATTTGACCACTGCCAATCAACAATATCAGACACAAAAACCATCTTGGTTATCTCCAGTTGAACAGAATAACCCCCATGAAGGACATGCAATGCCAGAAAATTCAGCTTGGACTACATCTCATTCATCAGGAGTGTATCTTTAGATACAAGCTATCAAATATTATAATTTTAGAAGTAGAGAATCAAATTTTCTTAAGGTTAAAATGCACACCTTTAATTTAAACGTGAAGAACAGCTGACTCTGATTTCTGCAATACCCTTTTTTAGGTCTCTGATTTCTGCAATACCCTTTTTTAGGTCTCTGATTTCTGCAATACCCTTTTTTGGTCTCTGATTTCTGAAGTTTTAAGACATATCAAAGAAAACTTTAGTATACAACGTTTATTAAAAGTACAAACCTTAATGAATAAAAAAATTCTAAAGACAATATTTAAAGATAATGACGTAGGGCCCCAGGAACATACATCGTGGACACCTAATTGGATAACGACTACCAATTCTTTTTGGAACAAATGGGCCCCAACTTCTAGTTCTGATTCTGTGTGGGAATCAAGCACAGGGAAATAAATATATCTCTCTATCTACAGTTAAACCCTAATTAAGCCATACATGGAAAGAATTCATCAAATGTCGTATTCTTCACTTTCTGATAATGAATGTTGCAGATATTTAGTTTTTTAATTAAATGATTATATGGAGCTCTTTAAAACTGTTCCCGCATATTCATGGCTATTTATTTATTTTCGCAAATACTGATATTTACGTAAAATAGTATAAAACCCATTGAAAAATTGCCAAGACGACATTTGATAAATTCTTTCGATGTTTGGCTCATTTAGGGTTTAACTGTAAAATTACAGGGAATGTAAACTTGATTTCAAGAGATCCTCCAGACAAATATGGCAGTGCCTGATTTACAACGGTACCCTTGAAACCTTGATCTGTTTAAAACTGTGACTCGAAAAATGTTTATTTCTGTGAACTTCTGCATTGCTTCCTGTAAGCAAGAAATGCGCAAACCACGTTATCAGAGAAACCACAGATTAAAATAAAAGAAACAGAAACATTGATCTCTAATTTGTTGATCAGACAAAGCTTTAAAGGATACCTTTGTAATTGCCATCTTTGCATAGAGAGTCACTAAATATTACACTCTCTCTCCATTTAAACATTATAAAAATCCTATGAAAACAAAAAGGAACACAAAATTTGACAAATTATTTTTTAAGATTTAAGATTTAAATTATTTATCACTCATTAAATGACATTTTATCTAAAAGAATGCTGTTAGATATGAACAAGAACCATAATTAAAGATTAAAATCAGGGGGTTGAATGTAATATGCTATAGCTGTTTCAATGTGTATATCTTATTAACAGTAAGCTCCTGGCAACCTGTCCTCTCCTCCCAAGGTGATGTACCAGCAGGATCCCCCCAGGGAGATATCCCACCTAGTGTATCCCCCCAAGGTGATGTACCAGCAGGATCCCCCCAGGGAGATATCTCACCTAGTGTATCCCCCCAAGGCATTGAAGCACCTGGTGTATCCTCTCCGCAACCACCACCTGCAGTTGAGAGTCCACAAGATACTAGAATAGATCAAAGTACATACAGCTCTCTATGGAAATAAAACTGAATTCGATCCAAGCCAATGTAGATATGAAATAAATTGTGTAAACTGTCAAACAATTGATTTTAGAAAATTATGAATAAAAGCATTAATCAATACTTTATTTTTCACATATTAAATGATTCAGATTACCAATAGTTCTATTTTCTCTGAGCTCCAACTAATATTAAGCTAATATTGTTTTTTTTAAATAGTCAAAACTTAAAAATAGAGAACTGTTACTTATAATGATCATATTATTTATTTATATATTTTTTAAGTACTCATTAAAGTATCCAGCATTGCCTGCAGGCTGAAATCAAGATCATGTGCGTCAATGATTAATAAAGATTACCCCAGTTAGAGATTTTATTTTAAAATGCATTAAATATTTTTGAATGGTGACCTAATAACAAGCTCAGTCGGGGGTTTACTCGAGGGGTGGGGTGTACATACTTATGTTGTCAACATCTATTTTGGTGTACCCCAGTAGCAGCCTTTGTGCATTCCACTAAAACCCCCTTATGAAAAAGTAAAAAACCAAGATTTAAATCTCTTTTACGATTAGACATTTCCGTTTTCTGGTCTGATGTTTGCAAGTCTGATGTGTGTGTACTGTCCGACATTTGTAGGTCCTACGTTTGAACTAGTACCATTTAATATATTACCCCATAGGATGGTGCTATGGAAAGACCTCAACATGGAAACGAACCAAAAAACGGGAATCTCCACAAAATGGAATGTTTGAGGCGTTTCCTGTTTTTTTCTAAAACAATCGGAAATCCCTTAAAAGAATTTTTCTGAGGGATTTCCGACTTTTTTTGATTGGTTTTTCCCGATTTTTAGGTCGTATTCCAGTTTTAACGGGTCAAATATTTTTGAGGGATTTCACAATATTTTCGCTCCGTTTCCGCATATTTTTGGTCCGTTTCCAGTTTAAAAAAAGTAAAATATTTTCAATTTGTGGACCGGTTTCCTTTATTTTTCGATCCGTTTCAATCCTAGATGAAACCCTGCAATTAGCCAATATTTGAACTCCACAGTACAATAGGCCGTTCATGTAAATATCTACAGTACAATAGGCCGTTCATGTAAATATCTACAGTACAATAGGCCGTACATGTAAATATTTACAGTACAATAGGCCGTTCATGTAAATATCCACAGTACAATAGGCCGTACATGTAAATATCCACAGTACAATAGGCCGTACATGTTAATTTTACAGTGGCATTGCCCACACATGTAAATATTTTTAGTACAGTAACAATGATCTACAAAGTTTAAAGCCGTTAGTTAATGACGGGAGCAAGACTATTTGAAAGTTGTTTTTGAACTTTTAATCTATTGATGACATTCACAAGGAAATGGACCAAAGTCACTTTTAGGTCCCTTTCTGTGTTGGTCCGTTTCCATAGCACCCCCTGATTGCAGTTTGAATTTGTAAAATGTGTTGTGCAAAATGAGAAATAGTGTTAAATCTAATGCATCATGCGCAATGCAATAGCATGTAATCATAGTGATTGAGTATTAATAAACTTTTCTCTAATTAGAACTAGGAACTTTATTATGTGGTTAAACTTAGTTTAACTCTTTCCTAGCTAGGAGTTTATTAATTCTAATTGGGTAGGTCTTGATAAATATTTTAGATTAACAGTTCTCTGATAAGGAAAAATATCTGGGATTTGTCAAGAGAATGAGAGAATAATTGTTTACCTCAGTCCGATCATTTATGGACTAAAACTAATTATTTCTAGCAATATTTTAAATAATCACTTGACTTCTTTATTTTTCATTTTAAAAATACAGTGATTGTAAAATGTCGGAATCTTGGCCTCTGCTTACCAGGACTGAAGACTCCTCGAAGGCTTATTTTATCAGGAAACAGAATCATTCTGTTACATTTTAATTGACAATTAATTGCGTTTTTTAATGTAATTTATTTAAATTCGACCCCAGGAAACAAACCAACTGTATGTTCTGATCGCGAGGATGTTTTCATAATAATAAAATAAAATTAAAAACACCTCGTCCAGGTCATCTTGAAAATCATATCTGATTTTGATTAAAGGAAAACTACATTTAGAATTATTGCAGATTATAATGTTTGAACTGAACCTTTATTTTCCAATCCTTCCAGATGTCTGTGTTTTTCTGCTGGCCTCAACATCAACAAAATCGAATTATCATTTTTAAAGTTAAAATCACAAAAATAATATTAGAATAATAATTGTTTAAAATAGAACTATTCTTCCATTCCTACTTCTTCAGCTGTGTCTTGGTCTAAGTTCTTCACGGCAGGTACAGTGTAACCCAGAACTTTGTAAACACCGAAAACAATCATAAAATGTCATCTTAACAATTTTTCAATTGGTTTTAAACATCTAGCTAAATCTTTCAAAATTAAAAATAGCCACGAAATATGCAGGAACAGTTTACTCAGTTTGTGGTCTAACAAATTGTACACATATCTTGCATGGCCCCATAAGTTAGATTTTTAATAGGGCATATATTTATTACAGGTGGAATGCATCTAAATACTTATATATTAAATATGGTTAGTCTGTTGCGAGAAACTTTGTGAAATGGCGCTCAACTGTTCTTGTAATGTGGGAAATTACGCAGAAATTACAGGCCGCAATTGCGTGCAAGTAAAATCCATTTACTTTGGAAACCCTACTTATACATAACAAATTTTATTTTTCTAAGATTCAAATTCTTGAAGCAAATACAGATTGAAAGGATAATTTCAGGCAACCTTTTATCCAATAGAAGCTGAAGCTAAAGGTGCTACTGCTGCAAAGTTTGGAGCAGTCTTTGGGATCATTCATCTCTCTCTCTTCATATTTGGTAATAGTAGTTTTTCCCTGAAGGGCAGGCGCGCAACTAGACATTTGGTTAGAGGGGGGCTAGGGGGAAATATTTTGCGCGAAGCGCGAACATTTTTTTGGCCCCCCTAAACATTTTTAGGGGGGGGCAAGAAAAATGTGTGTTATACTTAAACAATAAAAAACCAACCGGATATTCAGTTATAAGTCAACACATCTGATATAAAATGAAACAAGAGATCTATTCTGGTCAGGGGCGGATACAGGGGGGGGCGGGGGGACATTCGCCCCCCTGAATTTGGAATTTTTTGTTCTTATTTCAGAATAGCTTCTCAATAGCATGCTTAATTCGGAAAGAAACCCTAGTGCAAAACAGGAAACCCCCTGCCCCCCCCCCTAGTTGCGCGCCTGCTGAAGGGAAGTCAGGAACACTACAATATCTTCTACAATATTAACCATATAAAGGTGTAAAGGGTAACTTTGTGAATTAGGCATGTCCCTTTTTAAAAAAGGATCAGATGAATTTATGTCTACGGTCCTTTTAAAAAGCATTATTTAAGTATTTAAATACAGCTAAATCCTGAAAATTGTAACAGTAGTGTTAGGTGTCCTTTTCTGATCTGTATCTGAAATTGCATTTTGTGTTAAATTTAGAAGAATTTAATAAGTATAAAGCCTTGGTTATTTCTAGGTTCATTAAATCAGAAAGTTTATATTAATGTTCCAATGTGTTTGCAGGGAGTAGGTGCAGCAGCAACATGGACATCAAACCTATCTATTCTGATGACCAAATTCTCTGAGAGGAAATCTACTGTGAAGCCACAACCTTATATTACATTCTACATACTTCTGAACCGGATGTGAAAGTTGTATTTTAACTGTCATGTTCTCCGGCGTTTTCTTTCTTTGAATTGCTAAAAATAAGTGTTTTGAAGGCATGGTGCGATGCAGCATTTAACTTTGGACTAACTATTGGCCCAGTGGTTGGTGATTTTTTATATGAAGTTGGGGGATTCACCCTACTCTTTACTATTACTGGAAGTGCTATTCTGTGTGGATTTCTTGCACTATATGCTACTGAGGTAAAATTCTCTAACTCATGAAGTAAAAGTAAAAGCAAAATTATTATCCTACAATAGTACTAAAATGCTGTTAAGTTTCCAGAAATTGAGGGCTGTCTACGAAGAAGGTTCTGGGGAATGTATAGGTTTTGGTTGCTCTTCTGACATGTTTGGTAAATGCATATTCAGTTGGAACTCTAAAGGCAACTCTAACACCCTTCCTCCTCAGCATGAATACTAGTGTTAAAATGATTGCTGTTGCTTTTTTATTGATGTCAATGTGCTCAGGTTAGGATAAAGAAATTAAGCTTTCTTTCAATTCAAAAGTTCAGATAATTTTTTTTATTTTTAGTTCTTGCAACTCCTCTGTTTGGATTTATCTGTGATTCTAAGTTCTCTCCATGGTTGGTATCTGGTATTGGAACCCTACTTATGTTTGTATGCTTTGCGTTCATAGGACCCTGTCCCTACATGTCCTTTATCCCTGCTACATTTGCAAGTGTTTGTGGATCTTTAGTTGCTCAAGGGTTCAGAAGCTCAGCCATAAGTATTTCCAGCTTTAGTTCAGCTCAAAGAGCTGCTGTGGAATCTGGGCTTCCAGATAGTATGGAGGTCCAGGCGGTAGTGTCAGGAGTTTACACTTCTGCCTTCGCTTTGGGAAACTTCTTTGGTCCAACTGTATCAGGTGTTCTCTATGATAAGATAGGGTTTGTTAACAATCTTTTGGTGCTTCAAGCCCTAGTCGTGATCAGCTTTGTGCTAAACCTCATAATTTACAAAACACGTGCTACTGAAGCTGAGACAAACCTAGAAGAGAAGACTGGAATGCTACAATGGTCCCATATTGTAGTGAACGGGATGACTGAAGTTGTAATTTCAAGCAACTCTCCAATAAAAAAGTGTTCAATTCATAGCCATACCTCTTAATTCTTAGTCTAGTAAAAACATAATTTACATGCTTAATTCTTTAATTCATTTTTTTCAATAGTGGTTTCTCTACAAAAGTGACTTTTTGCTGCAATATAGAGAGAGCATATTCGTTATTAAAGTACATAATTTTACATAAATATATTTTTCAAACAAACACTTTAATGATGGAATTTGCCAAGCCAACATTGGCCATCTTTAAAGGGAGTGACCGGCTATGTAAGGTAGTTGAACTAAGTATGCAGTGTTGTGAACAAATTCTTTGGGATTCATTTGAGACTTTTAAAAATCTGTAAATCCTGAGTTTTAGTGCAAAGTGACGTTCAAAATCTTACTTTTGGGTGGAAACGTTTTCAGAATTGTTTTTGTTTTAATAATTAAATAAGGACAAGGAAAAATGTAAAAAAAATTCTACAGTAAACTAATTAGTTGTTTAGGTACAGGTTGAGAAAATAAAATTTAATCTTATCATGGAAGATAAGTAATCTTGTTCAATTATTAGTTTCTTTTTTCTCATTATTCTAGTTTCTCATTATTCACAAAGATTTTCTGGAATTGTTATTGAAACGACGACATTTGAAGAATTTGTAGAAATCTGCGAATAAATTTATAGAAAATAATAAATTCAATGTAATGATGAAAATGAAATAATTGATTCTAGAATTGATTTATTGACAAAGGAATTGAGTCTTTGGAACAAAATCCAATATTTAAACCTCAATATCTTTAGAACTCTATGTTGCAAACCTTTGATATTTCAAACTCAGATTATTTGCTCTAGCAGAATTCATAGTTTGAAATATCTAAGGTCTGCAACATTTGGTTCAAAAGATATAGTGATTAGAAAATCAGAGTTTGTGGCAAAGACTCAATTCCTTTCTTTTGATAAATATGTTCCTAATCATCTAATTAGTCTACTGTGTAATTTTTACTTTATTTGTCGTCGTCGTTACTTAATATTTAAAAAAACCGATTCTGAAAACGTACCCACCCAAATTCATGATTTTGAACGTCGAATATGCACTCATACTCAGTAATTTTATATATCGTGGAAAAGTTTTATATGTCTCAAATGAATCCTAAAGAACTTGTCCACAACACTGTATACTCAGTTTAACTACCTTACATAGCCGGTCTGTCCCTTAAATGGCAAACACGGATGTTATTGTATGGCATCATTTTTAAATCATACAATTAGAGGTGTTTCGTCCAATAAGTATGGGTAAAGTATTAGGAAGAGAGTGAGGGGGGGGGGTTATGTAGCTCAATAAGAATCAATAGCTAGCTCAGAACTTTGGATAGCACATTCATTTATTCAGAAATACATGAATAGCAGTTTAATCTTGAACATTGAAATCGCAGATACATATTTGTTTTTTCCACATGCCATTTATTTTTTAACAAGTTTAAAGAACAAGAGTTTTTTATTTCTAGTGACAATGAATTCTATATTTGTTGTAGAAAAACTTTAGGAAATAGTTCTAATACTTTTCCTATTGCTCTTTCTAATCATAAACATTTTGTTTGGTTTGGATCAAACATAGGACTAAACATATCATTAAACGATTCAAGAAGTCTTTCATATGAGGGAAGACATTATAAGAATCAAACACTTTTCAAGCTGCAATGTGAATGCACATTATTGATCAGATAACTGTTTATAGGGTACCTTTCCAAATTGGGCATCTCTGTCTGTAAATGGAATTTCATTTGGAATTCTACCGACCAGTCTCTTGAACATACTCTGAGAAGTGAGAACTCTGTTTTATTTGAAGTACCAAACGTATGACTCTTATGTAGATACAATATTTACTGACTAAAGACGTCAAAACAGAACTTAACACCAAGTGAATCAACCCCCTTCTTAAGAGATTAATGTGCATGGGTATCAAATACATCTTTTATTCTATATCAATAAAATACATGAAACAAAAATTTCTATATTTGCTTTCATGAATTGTCTTTATAATTCTGACATCTAACAAACACATAAAACATATTTTACGTAGGACAGAGATACAATGATACAATGAAAATTATTTCCAATCGAATAGAGTTCCAAGTCCTTGGAAGAAAAACTTTTTAGATATTTATTGTAAAAAAATTATAATCTATAATCTGCGTGACCAGCATAACCCTTATCTGCCAGAACTCATGTAGAGCTTTTTTCTGAAGAGTAGATAATTTACTTAAATAAATATTTAATGACGGACCCCAAGATAAAATAACATACTCTAGTTGACTTTTAATAATATTGATGTAATAAATATATTTTTACATCACAAACTAAACTTTTATTTTTTTTAAACTTGATCATTTTAAAGTAAAAAAATGTTAGTTTTTCCTGTTCTAAAGAAAAATTGTTTTTAATAAGGTCATTTCTACAGGAAAATTCACAAAAGCAAAATCTCTAAGACAATTCAAAGCTTACGGATTGAAATAATGTTTGTTTGTTATCTTTTTAAATCCATATTGATACAAAAACCAATTGTTCGTTATTAGTTTTTAAAAACGATGACCATCCCTAGATATAGGGCATGCATCATCGATTTCATTTTAATTGATGATGCATGCCCTATAGCTTTGGATGGGCATCTAAACTAAATTGATGATGCATGCCCTACGGCTAGGGATGGGCATCTACCCTTAAGTTGATGATGCATGCCCTACAGCTTGGGATGGACATCTAAACTTAAATTGATGATGCATGCCCTATAGCTAGGGATGGGCATCTAAACTTAAGTTGATGATGCGTGCCCTATAGCTAGGGATGGGCATCTAAACTTAAATTGATGATGCATGCCCTATTGCAAGAGATGGGGATCTAAACTTAAAGTGATAATTCATACCCTGTAGCTAGGGATGGGCATCTAAACTTAAATTGATGATGTATACCCTACAGCTAGGAATGGGCATCTTAACATAAATTGATGATGCATGCCCTGTAGCTAGGGATGGGCATCTAAACTTAAATTGATGATGCATGCCCTATAGCTAGGGATTGGCATCTAAACTTAAATGGATGATGCATGCTCTATAGCTAGGAATGGGCATCTAAACTTAAATTGATGATGCATGCCCTATAGATAGGGATACAATTATATAATATATAAATACATGTAAATAAGTAGATTCATGAAATTGAATTATGTTTAACAACTTAAATCTTTTTTTATTGAATGTTTTGTTTTTCGAAAAGAATTTAATACTATAACATAAAAGCAATTTGAAACCTTTCTAAAACTTTTCTTTAAAATAGTTAAAATAGTTAGAAATTATCATAGTTGTTAAAATTCATTATATTTTATGACAAATAGATTTTATATCATGAATAATATAGATATATGAACAATATTTAGCAATATACATTGTGAACATTACGAAGTTAATGTTTTTTATTCAATCTAAAACATGTAGACTACATTTACTTTACTTCAGAAAATTTTAACCACATCGAGTTTTGTTTCCAAGGTATGTATCCATACTAAAATGAAGGGGTATAGGGATCTTATACAAATAAACCGTGTTTGGTGTAAAAAAAGCTGTTTTTTGAAACTGCAGAACTAAATTTTTAGGAATTGTTGTTAAGCCCCATTTAAGCTGTAGATAACTAGAGGTTTGATGCATAAAGCAATATATCTTTATCAAATACAACAAGCTGTAGATAACTAGAGGTTTAATACATAAAGCAATATATCTTCATCAAATACAACAAGCTGTAGATAACTAGAGGTTTAATGCATAAAGCAATATATCTTTATCAAATACAACAAGCTGTAGATAACTAGAGGTTTGATACATAAAGCAATATATCTTCATCAAATACAACAAGCTGTAGATAACTAGAGGTTTAATGCATAAAGCAATATATCTTTATCAAATACAACAAGCTGTAGATAACTAGAGGTTTGATGCATAAAGCAATATATCTTCATCAAATACAACAAGCTGTAGATAACTAGAGGTTTAATGCATAAAGCAATATATCTTTATCAAATACAACAAGTAAAACAACTAGTACATATGCAATTGTTCTGCTCATTATTATATCTGAGCTAACAGAAGAGTACAGATGGATACAATGTCCAGTGAATCCTATGAGTGCAGAAATTGTGATAAAACTAGCTGTTCGCATAAACTGCTTAAATAACACTTTCTTTGCAATTTCTACATTTTGAGTCACTGCAGCCATTTGAAATTCCCTCGCTGGAGACTTTTGTTTTACAAAAGCATTAAATATAAACTCATCCTGGGGTTTCAATTCTTTTCCATTTAGAGAAAATCTTCTTTGGATTGGTGTGTTACTTGACTTTCCAATTGAAGGCAGGGATTTAGAGCTATGTAGGATTTGGGGTTTCCTTGGTGGGCGGATTACCACTGTAGGATCAACTTTGTTGGGTTTTTTCAAGTATTCCTTCCTAATGATGTACATTACTCTAGATGTTTCCAATAATATGAAAAGAACCATCAAAACTGGCAAAGTTGGTATCAGTTGGCACTTAACATCTTCTTTCTTTATCAGTTCTGTATTGTTATATTTTTCTTCGTATGTAACATTAAAATTAATTTTGTCAAGAATTCCTGTTTCGGCTTTAAATGTTTTCATCATTTTAGTATTTGGGTTATCCTTGCATAGAAGCAATCCAAATACAAAGTCAAGTGCGCTTAGGACAACTGCCAAAATACCAACAATGATTGCCCAAGCAGAGATTGGCTGTATTTTGCGGAAAACCACAGGATTAACAAACAGCAGAAGTCTTCCAGCAGATAGAGCACAAAGTGCAGCAAATTCCATTATTGTGTAGGGCCTTACTGATAACAAACCAGCAGTGACCAAGGGGTTAGTTTCAACAGCTTTTTTCAGCTGATGATGCCAAAAGCAGGCAATGAAGGATATTATATAGTTTCTTAATGACCCAATAACTAACAGAACAGTCAGCAACACTAGTATTCTGTTCAGCAAGTTTTTCTGTTCAATTGGCCGTGTGTTTAAGAAGCAAAGCAGGAGTACTGATGCTGACGTTGAGATAATTATTGCCAGACAATTTATGACAAATGAATAAATGTTTGGCATTTCTGGCACAAATAGTACTGTGCAGGAATATACCAATACACACAAGATTTTCAGCATGCCTTTTCTCTGCATGTTCTGATCACTTTGCTATTGGCAAAATAGCTATGACTTTCAAAGCAACTTTAGATGGAACATG